AAATTATTTTCCTCATCTGTAACTCCATACTGGTAAATAGCATGTACTTATATAATGTTTAAACTAATCTAGAAAACTCCAAAATTATTCTCTCTACATTCAGAGCGTCATAATTTTCTTCAAAACATCTGCACAATTGATGAACTGAGACTGAACTTTCACAATTAAAAATTTGCACATCTGGGTGTGCTGTGGTGACACAGGGGTTACACACAACCCATGTATGGAGGCCTCAGTTCTCGACGCAGCTGTCGCAGGTTTGATTCCAGCCCTGGTGACCTTTGCCGTATGTCTTTCCCCCCTCTCTCATTACCAACTTTCCTGTCAATTAACTATCAAATAAAGGCCACTAGAGCCAATGAAACCTTTAAAAAAATTTTTTTGCACACCTTGATCTTCTACTACCTGATCCTAAGAGCAAAGGTTTAAATGGTGATTGAATTGTGTGAGTAGTTAAACTTCTCTAAACACTACAATGGCACTCTTCCTCCTTTGTTTTGCTCCAGAATATTTACACATGCTAAATATTCATAAGAACATTTAGTACGTCTATAACGTATTAGTCTGAAATGTTAAAATTAGTTATAATGGTGTAATCATATTAGATGATTATTTTTTGTTTACCATTATTTATAAAGGTGACATCACTGCAATATTTTATGTGGGTTGATATAAAAGTCAATATGGGATTTGGGAAAAATTATAAAAAATATCAATACTTGTCTGTAACTCCATATAGCTGCTGCTTGCTACTACAACTGCTAGCGATAATAATTTTGTTGCTGATTATATTTATGGTGCAGTACAACTGATTTATGCTGGATCGTAATACGTTTGTACATAAGTAAAATGTAAGACAAACACTTTTAACACAAGTGTGACAATATTAATAACTGATGAGTTTCTCCACAGTAACCATACTGAAACTTGTGTTATGGACCTTTCATGAACACATACTTACTTTAAGCAGCATGATGTCATTGCCAAGTCCAACATTTTGGAAAGTTGGGAATTCGCAGCTGTACTGAATGTTTATTTTTTTTACATTTGAACTTTTGATATTATGATTTCCCAGGACAACCAGATCGGGTTTACTGAAAGTATTAACAGTAAAGAGGTTATTACATACATTTGCAACAAATGAACTCTACTGTTAGTGGGATGCAACAATAGAACAAGGAATCAGACTCACGGATTATTGCAGTGAGCAGCAGTGACCACAAAGTCCTCACTGATCAGAAATCCTCCACATACATGTTTTCCATTGCTCTGCACTGAGACCATGTACTGCATTGAGTTTACAGGAGCCTTTTCCCCATTTATGATGTGACTTCCATGAACTAAAGAGTAAGATAAAGGACAAAACCAGTTCAGAGGCCTGCTTTAGTTATTTATGGATAAAAATATGTGGACTTCTCACCTGTTTGGCAGAGAAATGTCAGCACCAGGAGACGCTGGACTTCCTTCAGTCTGAACATGATGCCAGTCAAGCTTGTTCTAGCTGTGCTGTAGTTTGTCAAGCTGACCTTTTTATATCGTAGTTTCCTTTCCTTGTACGTGCTATTATCTATGGAAATCTATATTAGCTTCACATCTTACCACATCCCCCTTAAAAGCACACTGTAGCTCGACAACGAGAATTATCTTTTACAATCTTTGAATACTCAGAAGTCAATGTACTACGAACATGAGAAACGTTTCTTGCCAGCCTTCTCCACATTTTTAAGCATCACAATGCTTTAATGTAATTGCCTATCCCCTTTAGGTTGTACTTTCATTTTTCTTGTTCACATGTTTATAAATGCCACCAAGTTAAAGTGATGTTATTTAAAAATCTATAGTTTTTCATTGAAATGCAACACAATTTTCATCAGATACAGTTTGTTCACTCAGTTGTACACATTGCCAGTAGTGGGTGGTGCTATAGCTATATTTAGTCACTTACTATAAGATAGTAACTTTCTGAAAACAATGTACTAACAAAAGTAGTTTTACTGCACCAATTTTTTTCCCCTTCAACTTGAAAACGATTACTTATGAAGAAAATTCATTCTTATGTGACTACAATTGCTGGCTACTCCACTAAAAATTATAGTTGACCTTTTAACCAAAAATTGCAGCATACAGAAGCATTTAATTGTTTCTAGAGATTCTCCCGGTCTGTCTATAAGACAGGCAAACAAAACAGAAAACAGTACATATTGTCACTGGAACTACTTTTCAATATTCCAACGTGCATACATTACCCACTGTGGTTTAAAAGATTGTTTTATATATCTAAAAAGAAGCAAACATTTCTTTTTGCTGGCTTCAGGAAAGTAACTTTGTTTATGGAAATAATTTGACATCTTTCACTGAAAAACATTGCTTTTTTTTTTTCTTCTTTGACTCAGTGTATCAATATAGCCCGGTTCCCACGTGAACACAAGTTTTAACTCCGTATTTGACCTCCAGCTCTGAATTGTCCATCCCTCTCACACTCATACAACTTAGCTTTTATCCAGAACTTTATCAAGCTTAGATAAGAAACTGCAGCTTGTTATACACATGCAAAAATATATCGGAAAGTCAAGTCATAATATAATTTAAATTTAGATTCAAAAAAGCAATGTGAAATTATTGTTTTCCTGTCACACCTTCCTTAATCTGTTCATCTACCATATCTTATTGTGCACAGGTTCCTGTTCCTGTTTGCTCTTACCATCTTACTTTTTAACCTTTTGGAAGATTTTGATTGCTTTTTTTTTGGATGAAAACAATGAAAAAGATTCAAGGTTCTGTTACTGACTGATAGATGCCATATCCACCAGCACTGATTGCGCTGGGAGAATATCATAATTACATATTCATCTGTTCAACACTGAGGGAATGACATGAGAAATGGACATTATGTACAGGAGATTATGTAACTACCCTGTCAACTGCAACAGACACATTACACTGGTAAAAATATAATTTCATTTCGCACTGATCTTGCGTTTTCTATGCCTTTAAATCATTGAACAGTCAAAGACTGCACAACAGAAACACTTACTTAATTCTTAACTGATAAATGGTGATATTTTGTTAAAGGTTACAAATGTGGACCAGGGTGGGAAGGCTATGTCATGAACTCATGATTCATTACTGATCACAAAACATACCCACACTGCTCATTCTTTCTAAAGCCTAACATCAGTCATAATGTCGTCTCAGCAGTGCGGTTAATCGTACTTCTCTTGCTTAAACGGTAAAGTTTTTTTTTTATTTTTTTTTTTACGTGTGCTTTTTGCTTCTTGGTGTAAGATAATGTAAATGTAAATATGTTTATTCATTTGTCCCTATGTATGTGTGTATTTACAGCTGGTTGACTATGAATTGCACCGTAATGGAGCTGTAGTTTTAAAGTTTAGACAAATATTGTTTTGTTTATCAGGCAAATTTAACCATTTCATTTTCCTTGCTGAGGTAAAGTAATTATTTGTTGCATCTTGCATTGTCAAAGTGATGACATTCGCACATGTCTCTGTTTTATTTGAAAAATAGATTAAATGTCTTTGGTGGGGAGGTTCACCAGGCAAATATTTTTATTTTGTCTGCATTTTTTTTCAATCTCACTCCCATGGACTTAAAGATATTCAAAAGACAAATACTAGGACAAGAGTTTATTCAACATCTTGAGATTAAAGCGGCACATTAGCAAAACTGCCACAATTTCTGCTTCAATGTACAGTGACAGTGAAAAAAAAAGAATTATATACATTTCTTTTCATTCACAACTTTGTTGAGCCAATGAAGATATTTAGAAATATCCGTGTAGACGTTGGGTAAATCCGGGTAGTCACAGTTGAAGCCTCTGTTGAATGACACAACACCAACAGCTCTTCCATTGCACACCAGAGGGCCACCAGAATCACCCTGCAAAGATCAAGGACTTAACGTTTGACATTTATCACGATGTTTAGACTATTATTTCTGATCAAAATACAAGAAGCAGACCTGACAAAATCCTTTATTCATACCAAATCCACCAGCACAGATCACATTGTGAGGAAGGAGATTGTCCCATTGCTTCTGGCAGGTTTGTTGGTTTATGATTGCCACGTTCACCATTCTCAGGTCATCACTATGATCAGTTTGCTCAGTTTTACCCCATCCGGCCACAGAGCATTCTTGATTATCTCTTAAGGAACTCTCAGAAAAAGGAAGGGGAATTGTTTTCACGCCATTGTTTAGAAGAACTTTCTCAGACAGCTGAAAAGACACAAAAAAGGAACATTAAGACTTTTTAACCTGTTTTTTTGGCAAATCCAGAGATATTTGTGTACAATAAGTGTGCTTTGCTCAGCATACTTACTCGAAGAATCATGATGTCTTTGCCATGTCCTGGGTCCTCGTACCCCTGGAGTTTGCATGTGGAATTGATGCTCACTTTTTTTATCTTTGAACTCTTGAGGTTGTGGTCTCCCAGAAGAACGTATTTCAGTTGACTGAAATTTTTGTAATTAAAAGTTTATTTCAAAACCAGTTTTGGCTCAACAGTCAAGCAGAAAATACAAACAGAAGAATAAAGAAAACTCACTTTTCACCACAGTGTGCTGCAGTGACCACATATTCCTCATTGAGCAGGAATCCTCCACATTCGTGACCTACATTGCTTTGCACTGAGACCATGTACTGCATCGAGTCCTCTTGGACTTTTCTCCCATGTATAATCCTATTCCCATAGACTGTGAAAATATTCAAGAGGCAAAGATTAGGATGAGGCTTTATTCAGCATCTTAAGATTAGATGTCAAGCTAAAGTCTCTTACCAGCTTGTCTGAGACATGACAGAATGCTGAGCAGCAGGAAATAACCCATGCTCTTCATCATGTCAGCCAATAAGGCGTTAGGTTTTTGGAAGGTGAAGTTGCTGCTTTTATGCAAAAGTTTGTGCCTAATGTTTGCATATCTGAGGCAATCTTTACACCACATCCCCTTTCAGAATACGTGTAGTACTTTGTGATATTTGAACTTCTGTCAGTCTGATGTAAATCAGTTAATTGTCTTGAGGATTTCTCACATTTGGTCACGTTGATTCGCCTCTTGTCCTGTCTTTTATGCTTTGTTCTACTTAGTTTTGATATTGCATATTTGGACTTTTAGATGATTATTTCCAAATCCAAACCATTTTTACTCCACAGACTTTCTATCTGTACACCCTGTCAGAACTAACTTGACCATCTTTTTTTTTTTTTTCTCTCCTGCTTCTTCACTATTGGCCCGGCTTTTTGTGTTAAAATGTCAAAAATGTCCTGATCATGATTATTATTATTATTATTATTATTATTATTATTATTATTATTATTATTATTATTATTATTTTAAAACCAATCCATGTAATTTGTGAATAGACACCAGGTGATGCTGAGTTACAGTCCAATAATGCTTTTAAATGAATAAACTCAGAATTCTGAATCTTTATTTTGCTGCTGAAGAACGCCACATTTTATTAGTGTTTTAGCTCACCTCTCTTCAATGATGCTCTTGACATGAGCGTTCTTGATGACCACAAGACGACTTAAATGAAGGTCGTGCCTGCAAGACTTTTGTAATATGTTTTAGGAAATCTCTGCTGTTTTGTTAATTAAAGGCTTTTTAACAGCTACTGATAAAAATGAAAGTTTACCTACACTTTATTAGAGCATTTTCTCTTCACTTAAGCAATTTAAAATCAGGATGCTAATTGTTAGCTTCTCGGTATTCCAACTACTGACCTTTATGCCTTCCAGCAGCTAACAAAGCTTAGCTAATAGCTGTTTTTCTGTTTGATGAGCAATGCTTCAATGCTAGATTTTTAAAATAATTATTTACACTGTCAAAAAGCATCTTGCAAGTCTTTACACCATGATCAGTATGGATAATGCTACAAAAGATGACATCTTAGCTCTGCAGCCACGGCTTGAACGCTGGTATCGGTTCATCTTTACATGCAGACTGCAAAGCAATATCTGACAGGAAGCTTATTTTAGCACAGCTCTCTGATCTTCTTTTGTGATGCACTGACAAAAAGAGCTAAACAAAGTGAAAAAGGGACAGCTAATAGTGTTGCTGTTGATTTGTTAACTGATAAATTCATAATTTATTTGTATGTCATGCTTTCATACTCGATGCATAAAAAGTTAAGCACAACAGTTTTTTATGAAGGAATCTGTCAAGATTACGCCTACTCTGAATCTACAACAAAGACTTATTTACTTAATATTCAAATTCAGTAAGTCTGTTCAATTCTTATTTCCTTGGTAGTTCTATTTTTACGCATACCTTAATTTGTGGACTAATTTATTGTGGCATAGCACTTCAGTCTCCATTTTAGAAAATGCCCACAATAATGCTGTGGATACATAAAAACGTGTTTTTTCTGCATAGAATTGTTTGGTTGTTACCAACATATTATGAGAATTTCAGGTCCAGCCTGATTAGAAGTAAATTTACTGAGAAAAGTGTATGTAATATGTATTTTCTTTGATACATTAACTTCACTATATGCTCAAACTACATCG